TCATGTGGACCGATAGGAGCCGAGTCTCGTTGCCATAGTATCACAAATACACAAACATGGCGACGACCGCATCTCACAGCGAGACAAGCGAAGAGGAAGAAAAGAAAAGGAACAAAAGAAAACAGCCTTCAAAAGTGCATAAAAAGGAGCGAAACGATGTTATATGCATCTGTCATCTGTCCAGAGTGAAGACGTTCTCGACTTTACAAGGTCATGTTGGTAAACTTACAGAACTAGTATTGGAAAGTGTCTTTCTCTACAGGGTGAGACAAAGGACCTTGCAGAAACGTATAAACTTTTATAAAGTATTTTAACGAAATTCACTTTCTAGGCACTTTTTCCTTTGTCCCAATACAGCTTATGACCTCGACCGAAGTTTCTTTCGCGGAGTTTCAGATGCCGTGGACGTGGATGCATGCTGCGTTAAGGCTTTGACTGACCCGTGGCTGCATCACGTTCTTGTTTATCAAACCCCTTTTGCAAAAAAATCACTGGTAGCATGTCATGTGAAACCCAGCCTCATCAGAACATTGTCAAAGTCGATATCAACCCAAAGTTTATACGTTTCTGCAAGGTCCTTTGTCTCACCCTATAGAGAAAGCCACTTTCCAATACTAGTTCTACAAGTTTCCCAACGTGTCCTTGTAAAGTCGAGAACGTCTTCACTCTGGACAGATGACAGATGCAGATAGCATCGTTTCGTTCCATTTTTATGCACTTCTGAAGGCTGTTTTCTTTTGTTCCTTTTCTTTTCTTCCTCTTCGCTTGTCTCGCTGCGAGATGCGGTCGTCGCCATGTTTGTGTATTTCTGATACTATGGCAACGACACTCGGCTCCTATTCCACGTGACAAAAATCGCTTCACCCCCTGCATATTCGATTGCGCGTGTGCAAGTATCACTACGCCGCAGAAGGGAAATAGTTCCACACCGAAACACTGATTACTAAAAATCGACAGGATGGCATGAGTAGATATATTTTTTTAATACTCACTATCAATAGAGCTGTTTTATGAATCACAGTTTATGTTGCCCCACTGAAGTGGAAGGAGATTCACTATATATATTGCACTTTTCAACACTTTTGAGCCTGATCTGTCTCCATACACTAGATGGTGCTATTCTCCATTCTGAAGTTACTATGGTTGGATGCTGCAGACTGCACACGTGTTTTGTCATTTCTACATTTAATTGAAACATTGTTTCACATTAATTAAGGCATTTCTTTTTCAAAATCACTTATACTGATTATAATTTCTGTGAACTCACAAAAGTCATATAATTAGTTTTTACTTTGTCTATCATACAATTTGTACATTCATTCAACTTTTTTACCTTGAGCTACAGTACAATTTTTACATTAATACTGTTTCTTCTTCTTCTACTGCACCTTTTCAACAGTTTTTCCATTCATAACTTCCTCTATTTTTTATTGGCAGTTTACCATTGCTTTTTCAGCTTTCAGCACTCAGCATTTCCACGCATTTTCTGCAAGGAAATGCAACTTTTCTAGTTATTATTATTATTATTATTATTATTCTTCCGTACCTTTTTTGGCCCTTTTCAACTCCTTACCACTTTGTGCTATTTTAACCATTCAAACTTTATACTAATGCACTCCTTCAGGACATTATTGCTATTACTTTTCACCTTTCTACCATTTATACTTTTTGCAATATTTCACTTTTTCTGCAAAATTTGTTCCATTACAAATGAATGGAGATACAGCTATAACACCTTCTCACCCTTATAACTTCTGCATACTTTCACCTACAGACCTCATTTTTGCTTTAAAATGTTCAGCAACGTGTCTGCTACAAATGTTGTATTCACTCCTTTTTGCTATTTCCTACCGTTTTTGCACAATTTCGCTTGGAGCAACATGAAGTCTTCTGCCTTTTTCAGCCTGACTCACGCTACAGCGTCTGACGTCATAACTAGATGCGGGCGGGGCCTTTTGGATTCACTAGACCAAGCATGATTATTTTGCAGCCGCGGCCGCAAGTTTCACTCCACAGCCATAAAAAACACATCAAAATGGAGGTACACTCGTCCTGCTTCTCACAAAATCGGTCTGAAGTCATGAAATTGTACAGCTTGCCCAGGAGGTGAGTACATTCCTTAGGAGCCAGAGATTCTGCACTTGTCATGGGCTGTGTGCTTCGATCGCACACGCACGGACTTGGCCGCTCGTGCGCGCGCGGGCACACACACACACACACACACACACTGTTTCCATGAGTGAATTACTGTCTGTCTTTCTCTCTTACTGTCTCTCTGTCAGATTCTGCACTTGTCATGGGCTGTGTGCTTCGATCACACACGCACATGCACACGCACGGGCTCGGGCGCGCGGGCACACACACACACACACACACACTGTTTCCACGTGTGCATTACTGTCTCTCTGTCAGTAGAAAATACAGCCCCAATATGAACTTTGTTGTTACAGTTCTTGTCTTTAACTCTTTTAACATACTAACTTCTTCTTTTTCTTCTACTTCTGCTTTTCTTTTCTATACTTTCTACATTTATACAATTAATTTAACTTCAGCTGTTTCATACTTTCTACATTCAGATGTAGGCCAGTAACTGAAGCAGGGCAATAGATGGTGCTGTTCTGCATTCTCAAGTTACTATGGTTGGATGCTGCAGACTGCAAAAATCTGTTTTACTATTTGTACATTTAATAGGAACATTGTTACACATTGTTTAAAGGCATTTGTTTTTCAAATTCAATTATCCATATCAGTTCTGTTTATTCACATCAATCATATACATTTTTCACTTAGGCTATCAGACAATTTGTACATTAATCCAACTAATTTACCTCCAGCTATACTACAATTCTTCCATTGATACAATTTCTTCTTCTTCTACTCCACCTTTTCTACAGTTTTTCCATTTATACCTTCCTCCATTTTGTATTGGCAGTTTTGCATTGCTTTTTCAGCTTTCAGCACTCAGCATTTCCACGCATTTTCTGCAAGGAAATGCAATTTTTCTAGTATTATACTTAACACTCTCCCCATACGTTTCTTTGGACCGCTTCTCCTCCTTCAAACTTTGTCCGATTTCAACCGTTCAAACTTTAAACTATTCCACTCCATCAGGACATGTGTGCTTGTATTTTTTTCCTTTCTATCCTTTGTACTTTTTATTATTTTTAACTTTTTGTGCCAAACTTTTTTTCCCATAGAAATGAATGGGGAAATCTTCCAATTCCTCCTGTTATTCGTCCACCTTCTAAGCCTTATAACTTAAGCATACTTTCACCTAGAGACCTAATTTTTGCTTTAAAATGTTCATTGTCTTGTCGACTATTGATGTTGTATTAACCTCTTTGTTCTAACTTTTACAGTTTTTCCACAATTTAGCTTTAAGCACCTCGTGGTTTTCAGCAAATTTCAGGCTTTATAATGGGGTGTATTGGAGAGGCTAGAGTGATGATTTGAAAAGCTAGAGTGCAGACCTCGTCTCTGATCGACAGAACCTCGCTCGAATATATCGCTCCAACGCCCACAAATTTCACTCCTCAGCCATAAAAAATACATCAAAATGGAGGTATATGTGTCCTGCTTCTCACAAAAGAGGTTTCAAATCATTAAATCGTACCCCTTGGCCAGCAGGTGACCAACTGTCCAAATAGGCGCAAATCTCTCCCCATTGGCCCTAATGTATTTTTTCTCCAAGAAAATCCTTATCGCCACTCAGGCTCAGACTTTTTTAACTCGCTGTTGTGGCCACATTTTTCGGAGTACAGACATGAAAAACACATCATTGTGTTCATGAAGGGCGGAGGATTCGTACGATGTTCTTATTTTCATTCTGGGATTTAAGGAAATCACGCTATGTGAAGAAGTTCAGAGCCTCTTAATCCTCTGCAGTTCAGCTGCTTCTCATTCAAACAGTAGGTCAGTGATTTGCCTTTGATCTCACAGCTGTTTAGGATGCAATCATTAACGAGACACACACACACACACACACACACACACACACACACATTCTTGTACTTGTTGCTTTGTCAGGTCTACCTTGCAGTTCAGCTGATTGTACACACAGTTAATATGTGTCTGCTTCGCCACCTATCTCCACCCACAAACTTTGAGCCACAGAAACCATTCTGGGCTTCTAAAATTCAGCTCATTGAAGATATTATGGGGTGTTTTGAGGATTGTGATAATAAATTGTATTAATGTGTTTAGCAGAGTCTTGTGTTCTCACAAGCTCCTTATCAGGAATAGATACAGAGGATGAGCGTCAGGGCCTACTTGGAGTCCTGTTTCCTTAGCTTCAAGCCTTCTTTCTCCTGCTATAGTTATGCATCCAAGGTCCCCATGGCAACCAATTTGTGCACCTGGAGACACACAGCTGACTGGAAAGCTGCTTCTAATGACCATATGAGACACATGAAGCCAGGCTCAGCACACATAGCACTGGGGATGACACTTAAAACCCTTTACTAGAGCGCTTGAAAAAACTTCAGCCCCTATCTCCTCACATGACCTTTGACCTACAGAAACCATTCAGGGCTTTAAAATTTGAGCTCATTGAGGACATTATGGGGTGTATTTAGGATTTATATACATTTAGATTTTTCACATTTTAAAGTCACTCAGTGATGATTTATCATTTAATTTTTCAAACTAATTTGAACTGATTCAAACTGATTCAAACCTTTCTAATACTTAAAAAATTAAACTTATGCCACTTCCCACCTTCCTGCCTTTTAAGGCAATTTCCTTCTTCATTCAAACTTTGTGCAATTTTAGACATTTTTCTAGCCTCTTTCAGTATGAATAAAATTTCTTTTTATAGAGCATATTCATACTATTTGTCCTTCAACCAATTAATCAATTATCCAACTTACATTTCTTTCACACCCCTTCAACAGCTTTAACATTTATACATTTCTCCATGTTTTATTAGCAGTTTAGCATTGCTTTTTCAGCTTTCAGCACTCAGCATTTCCACGCATTTTCTGCAAGGAAATGCAATTTTTCTAGTTAAGTGGAAATGCTGATTAAGCATTTCCACTTATTGTTATTCCTGTCGGCCATTTTCTTTATTATTATTATTATTCTTCCGCCAATTTTTGTCCGCTATCTCCTCCTTCAAATTTTGTGCTATTTAAACCGTTCAAACTTTAAACTATTCCACTCCTTCAGGACATGAGGGCTTGTATTTTTTTCCTTTCTACCCTTTATACTTTTGGTTTTTTTTAACTTTTTGTGCAAAATTTGTACCATTAAAAATGAATGGGGAAATCTTAAAATTCTACCTTTTACTCTTCCACCTTCTAAGCCTTACTACTTCAGCATACTTTCACCTAGAGACCTCATTTTTGCTTTAAAATGTTCATTCACTTGTCGACTATTACAGTTGTACTCAGTTTTTTGATATCTCTTACAGTTTTTCCACAATTAAGCTTTAAGCAACTTGTGGTTTTCAGCAAATTTCAAGCTTTATAATGGGTGTGTATTGGAGAGTTTAGAGTGATGATGTCATCAGCTAGAGTGCAGACCTCGTCTCTGATCGACAGAACCTCGCTCGAATATATCGCTCCCACGCCCACAAATCTCACTCCACTGACACAAATAATACATCAAAATGGAGGTATATGTGTCCTGCTTCTCACAAAAGAGGTTTCAAATCATTAAATCGTACCCCTTGGCCAGCAGGTGACCAACTGTCCAAAGAAGGCGGAAATCTCTCCGATTGACCGTAATGTTATTTTTCTCCAAGAAAATCCGGATCATCGCTCAGGCTCAGACTTTTTTAACTCGCTGTTGTGGCCACATTTGTCGGAGTACAGACATGAAAAACACATCATTGTGTTCATGAAGGGCGGAGGATTCGTACGATGTTCTTATTTTCATTCTGTGACTTAAGGAAATCACGCTATGTGAAGAAGTTTAGAGCCTCTAAATCCTCTGCAGTTCAGCTGCTTCTCATTCAAACAGTAGGTCAGTGATTTGCCTTTGATCTCACAGCTGTTTAGGATGCAGTCATTAACGAGACACACACACACACACATTCTTGTACTTGTTGCTTTATGAGGTCTACCTTGCAGTTCAGCTGCTTGTACACACAGTTAATATGTGTCTGCTTCGCCACCTATCTCCACCCACAAACTTTGAGCTACAGAAACCATTCTGGGCTTCTAAAATTCAGCTCATTGAAGATATTATGGGGTGTTTTGAGGATTGTGATAATAAATTGTATTAATGTGTTTAGCAGAGTCTTGTGTTCTCATAAGCTCCTTATCAGGAATAGATACAGAGGATGAGCGTCAGGGCCTACTTGGAGTCCTGTTTCCTTAGCTTCAAGCCTTCTTTCTCCTGCTATAGTTATGCATCCAAGGTCCCCATGGCAACCAATTAGTGCACCTGGAGACACACAGCTGACTGGAAAGCTGCTTCTGATGGCCATATGAGACACATGAAGCCAGGCTCAGTACACATAGCACTGGGGATGACACTTAAAACCCTTTACTAGAGCGCTTGAAAAAACTTCAGCCCCTATCTCCTCACATGACATTTGACCTACAGAAACCATTCGGGGCTTTAAAATTTGAGCTCATTGAGGACATTATGGGGTGTATTTAGGATTTTTATACATTTAGATTTTTCACATTTTAAAGTCACTCAGTGATGATTTATCATTTAATTTTTCAAACTAATTTGAACTGATTCAAACTGATTCAAACCTTTCTAATACTTAAAAAATTAAACTTATGCCACTTCCCACCTTCCTGCCTTTTAAGGCAATTTCCTTCTTCATTCAAACTTTGTGCAATTTTAGACATTTTTCTAGCCTCTTTCAGCATGAATCAAATTTCTTTTTATAGAGCATATTCATACTATTTGTCCTTCAACCAATTAATCAATTATCCAACTTACATTTCTTTCACACCCCTTCAACAGCTTTAACATTTATACATTTCTCCATGTTTTATTAGCAGTTTAGCATTGCTTTTTCAGCTTTCAGCACTCAGCATTTCCACGCATTTTCTGCAAGGAAATGCAATTTTTCTAGTATTATACTTAACACTCTCCCCATACGTTTCTTTGGACCGCTTCTCCTCCTTCAAACTTTGTCCGATTTCAACCGTTCAAACTTTAAACTATTCCACTCCATCAGGACATGTGTGCTTGTATTTTTTTCCTTTCTATCCTTTGTACTTTTTATTATTTTTCACTTTTTGTGCCAAACTTTTTTTCCCATAGAAATGAATGGGGAAATGTTCCACTTCTTCCTTTTATTCTTCCACCTTCTAGACCTAATAACTTCAGCATACTTTCACCTAGAGACCTCATTTTTGCTTTAAAATGTTCATTCACTTGTCGACTATTAAAGTTGTGCTCAGTTTTTTGATATCTTGTACAGTTTTTCCACAATTTAGCTTTAAGCAACTTGTGGTTTTCAGCAAATTTTCAGGCTTTATAATGGGTGTGTATTGGAGAGTTTAGAGAGATGATGTCATCAGCTAGAGTGCAGACCTCGTCTCTGATCGACAGAACCTCGCTCGAATATACCGCTCCCACGCCCACAAATCTCACTCCACTGACACAAATAATACATCAAAATGGAGGTATATGTGTCCTGCTTCTCACAAAAGACGTTTCAAATCATTAAATTGTACCCCTTGGCCAGCAGGTGACCAACTGTCCAAGGAAGGCGGAAATCTCTCCCATTGACCATAATGTTATTTTTCTCCAAGAAAATCCGGATCATCGCTCAGGCTCAGACTTTTTTAACTCGCTGTTGTGGCCTCATTTTTCGAAGTACAGACATGAAAAACACATCATTGTGTTCATGAAGGACGGAGGATTCGTACGATGTTCTTATTTTCATTCTGGGACTTAAGGAAATCACACTATGTGAAGAAGTTCACATGGTTTAAATCCTCTGCAGTTCAGCTGCTTCTCATTCAAACAGTAGGTCAGTGATTTGCCTTTGATCTCACAGCTGTTCAGGATGCAGTCATTAACGAGACACACACACACACACACATTCTTGTACTTTTTGCTGTCAGGTCTACCTTGCAGTTCAGCTGCTTGTACACACAGGTAATATGTGTCTGCTTCACCACCTATCTCCACCCACAAACTTTGAGCTACAGAAACCATTCTGGGCTTGAAAAATTCAGCTCATTGAAGATATTATGGGATGTTTTGAGGATTGTGATAATAAATTGTATTAATGTGTTCAGCAGAGTCTTGTGTTCTCACTAGCTCCTTATGAATATATACAGAGGATGAGTGTCAGGGCCTACTTGGAGTCCTGTTTCCTTAGCTTCAAGCCTTCTTTCTCCTGCTATAGTTATGCATCCAAGGTCCCCATGGCAACCAATTTGTGCACCTGGAGACACACAGCTGACTTGAAAGCTGCTTCTAATGGCCATGTGAGACACATGAAGCCAGGCTCAGTACACATAACACTGGGGGTGACACTTACAACCCTTTACTAGAGCGCTTGAAAAAACCTAAGCCCCTATCTCCTCACATGACCTTTGACCTACAGAAACCATTCAGGGCTTTAAAATTTAAGCTCATTGAGGACATTATGGGGTGTATTCAGGATTTATATTCATTTAAATTTTTCACTTTTATAAGTCACTCATTGATGATTTATCATTTAATTTTTCAAACAAATTTAAACTCATTCAAACTGATACTTGAGGATTTTTAAGTATTTAAATTTTCCATGTTTTAAATTAATTTTAATATTCATGCATTACTCCATCCTTCAAACAAAATCCTACCTCAAGTACTACAACTACTGCTAATGTCAATTAAACTAGAACTTTCCCCTCTACTTCAACTGCTATTGCTCCTATTTCTACTTTCTCTACTGCTGCTATTGCTACTATTTCAACTTTCTTTACTACTTTGACTCATTCTTCTTTCATTCTCAAACTACTTCTACTGCTGACATGACTACTAGTATCACGACTTGACTTCTTATCATACTACTTCTAGTACTACAACTTAAAGTTATGCCACTTCTCACCTTCCTGCCTTTTAAGGCAATTTCCTTCTTCATTCAAACTTTGTGCAATTTTAGACATTTTTCTAGCCTCTTTCACCATGAATAAAATTTCCTTTTTTGGAGCATATTCATACTATTTGTCCTTCAACCAATTAAACAATTGTCCAACCTATATTTCTTTTTCACTCCTTCAACAGCCTTAACATTTATACCTTTCTCCATGTTTTATTAGCAGTTTAGCATTGCTTTTTCAGCTTCAGCACTCAGCATTTCCACGCATTTTCTGCAAGGAAATGCAATTTTTCTAGTTATTATTATTTTTCTTCCGCCGTTTTTCGTCCGCTTTCAACTCCTTCAAACTTTGTCCGATTTCAACCGTTCAAACTTTAAACTATTCCACTCCTTCAGGACATGTTTGCTTGTACTTTTTACCTTTCTACCTTTTATACTTTTTGTTTTTTTTAACTTTTTGTGCAAAAATTTTAACATTGAAGTCAATGGGGAAATCTTCCACTCCTTCCTTTTATTCTTCCACTTTCTAGACCTTATAACTTCAGCATACTTTCACCTAGAAACCTCATTTTTGCTTTAAAATGTTCATTCACTTGTCGACTATTATAGTTGTACTCAGTTTTTTGATATCTTTTACAGTTTTTCCACAATTTAGCTTTAAGCAACTTGTGGTTTTCAGCAAATTTCAAGCTTTATAATGGGTGTGTATTGGAGAGTTTAGAGTGATGATGTCATCAGCTAGAGTGCAGACCTCGTCTCTGATCGACAGAACCTCGCTCGAATATATCGCTCCCATGCCCACAAATCTCACTCCACAGCGATAAATAATACATCAAAATGGAGGTATATGTGTCCTGCTTCTCACAAAAGAGGTTTCAAATCATTAAATCGTACCCCTTGGCCAGCAGGTGACCAACTGTCCAAGGAAGGCGGAAATCTCTCCCATTGACCATAATGTTATTTTTCTCCAAGAAAATCCGGATCATCGCTCAGGCTCAGACTTTTTTAACTTGCTGTTGTGGCCTCATTTTTCGAAGTACATACATGAAAAACACATCATTGTGTTCATGAAGGACGGAGGATTCATACGATGTTCTTATTTTCATTCTGGGACTTAAGGAAATCACGCTATGTGAAGAAGTTCACAGGCTGAAATTCACTGCAGTTCAGCACCTCTCAGTCAAACAGTAGGTTAGTGATTTGCCTTTGATCTCACAGCTGTTTAGGATGCAGTCATTAACGAGACACACACACACACACGCACACACATTCTTGTACTTGTTGCTTTTTGAGGTCCACCTTGCAGTTCAGCTGCTTGTACACACAGTTAATATGTGTCTGCTTCGCCACCTATCTCCACCCACAAACTTTGAGCTATAGAAACCATTCTGGGCTTCTAAAATTCAGCTCATTGAAGATATTATGGGGTGTTTTGAGGATTGTGATAATAAATTGTATTAATGTGTTTAGCAGAGTCTTGTGTTCTCACAAGCTCCTTATCAGGAATAGATACAGAGGATGAGCGTCAGGGCCTACTTGGAGTCCTGTTTCCTTAGCTTCAAGCCTTCTTTCTCCTGCTATAGTTATGCATCCAAGGTCCGCATGGCAACCAATTAGTGCACCTGGAGACACACAGCTGACTGGAAAGCTGCTTCTAATGGCCATATGAGACACATGAAGCCAGGCTCAGCACCCATAGCACTGGGGATGACACTTAAAACCCTTTACTAGAGCGCTTGAAAAAACTTCAGCCCCTATCTCCATGACATGACATGACCTTTGACCTACAGAAACCATTCAGGGCTTTAAAATTTAAGCTCATTGAGGACATTATGGGGTGTATTTAGGATTTATATTCATTTACATTTTTCACATTTTAAAGTCACTCAGTGATGATTTATCATTTAATTTTTTTTCAAACTAATTTAAACTCATTCAAACCTTTCTAATACTTTAAAACTTTCTGATACTTGAGGATTTTTAATTATTTAAATTTTCCCTGTTTTAAATTAATTTTAATATTTATGCATTATTCCATCCTTCAAACAAAATCCTACCTCAAGTATTACAACTACTGCTAATGTCAATTAAACTAGTACTTTCCCCTCTACTTCAACTGCTATTGCTCCTATTTCTACTTTCTCTACTGCTGCTATTGCTACTATTTCTACTTTCTCTACTACTTTGACTTATACTTCTTTTACTCTCAAACTACTTCTACTGCTGACGTGACTACTAGTATCACGACTTGACCTCTTATACTACTTCTAGTACTACAACTTAAACTTATGCCACTTCTCACCTTCCTGCCTTTTAAGGCAATTTCCTTCTTCATTCAAACTTTGTGCAATTTTAGACATTTTTCTAGCCTCTTTCAGCATGAATAGAATTTCCTTTTATAGAGCATATTCATACTATTTGTCCTTCAACCAATTAATCAATTATCCAACTTACATTTCTTTCTCACCCCTTCAACAGCTTTAATATTTATACCTTTCTCCATGTTTTATTAGCAGTTTAGCATTGCTTTTTCAGCTTTCAGCACTCAGCATTTCCACGCATTTTCTGCAAGGAAATGCAATTTTTCTAGTTAAGTGGAAATGCTGACACAGCATTTCCACTTATTGTTATTCTACTATTTCTTTATTATTAAGTGGAAATGCTGACACAGCATTTCCACTTATTGTTATTCTACTATTTCTTTATTATTATTATTCTTCCGTACCTTTTTTGGCCCTTTTCAACTCCTTACCACTTTGTGCTATTTTCACCATTCAAACTTTATACTAATGCACTCCTTCAGGACATTACGGCTATTACTTTTCACCTTTCTACCATTTATACTTTTTGCAATATTTCACTTTTTCTGCAAAATTTGTTCCATTACAAATGAATGGAGATACAGCTATAACACCTTCTCACCCTTATAACTTCTGCATACTTTCACCTACAGACCTCATTTTTGCTTTAAAATGTTCAGCAACGTGTCTGCTACAAAAGTTGTATTCACACACACACACACTGTTTCCATGTGTGCATTACTGTCTCTCTGTCAGTAGAAAATACAGCCCCAATATGAACTTTGTTGTTACAGTTCTTGTCTTTAACTCTTTTAACATACTAACTTCTTCTTTTTCTTCTACTTCTGCTTTTCTTTTCTATACTTTCTACATTTATACAATTAATTTAACTTCAGCTGTTTCATACTTTCTACATTCAGATGTAGGGCAGTAACTGAAGCAGGGCAATAGATGGTGCTGTTCTGCATTCTCAAGTTACTATGGTTGGATGCTGCAGACTGCAAAAATCTGTTTTACTATTTGTACATTTAATAGGAACATTGTTACATATTGTTTAAAGGCATTTGTTTTTCAAATTCAATTATCCATATCAGTTCTGTTTATTCACATCAATCATATACATTTTTCACTTAGGCTATCAGACAATTTGTACATTAATCCAACTAATTTACCTCCAGCTATACTACAATTCTTCCATTCATACAATTTCTTCTTCTTCTACTCCACCTTTTCTACAGTTTTTCCGTTTATACCTTCCTCCATTTTTTATTGGCAGTTTTGCATTGCTTTTTCAGCTTTCAGCACTCAGCATTTCCACGCATTTTCTGCAAGGAAATGCAATTTTTCTAGTTATTATTATTATTATTATTATTCTTCCGTACCTTTTTTGGCCCTTTTCAACTCCTCACCACTTTGTGCTATTTTCACCATTCAAACTTTATACTAATGCACTCCTTCAGGACATTACGGCTATTACTTTTCACCTTTCTACCATTTATACTTTTTGCAATATTTCACTTTTTCTGCAAAATTTGTTCCATTACAAATGAATGGAGATACAGCTATAACACCTTCTCACCCTTATAACTTCTGCATACTTTCACCTACAGACCTCATTTTTGCTTTAAAATGTTCAGCAACGTGTCTGCTACAAATGTTGTATTCACTCCTTTTTGCTATTTCCTACCGTTTTTGCACAATTTCGCTTGGAGCAACATGAAGTTCTCTGCCTTTTTCAGCCTGACTCACGCTACAGCGTGTGACGTCAGATGTTACGTCACCGCTAGATGCGGGCGGGGCCTTTTGGATTCACTACACCAAGCATGATTATTTTGCTGCTGCGGCCGCAATTTTCACTCCACAGCCATAAAAAACACATCAAAATGGAGGTACACTCGTCCTGCTTCTCACAAAATCGGTCTGAAGTCATGAAATTGTACAGCTTGCCCAGGAGGTGAGTACATTCCTTCAGAGCCAGAGATTCTGCACTTGTCATGGGCTGTCTGCTTCGATCGCACATGCACACGCACGGACTCGGCCGCTCGTGCGCGCGCGGGCACACACACACACACACACACACTGTTTCCATGAGTGCATTACTGTGTCTCTTTCTCTCTTACTGTCTCTGTCAGATTCTGCACTTGTCATGGGCTGTGTGCTTCGATCACACACGCATATGCACACGCACGGGCTCGGCCGCGCGCGCGCGCGGGCACACACACATACACACACACTGTTTCCATGAGTGCATTACTGTGTCTCTTTCTCTCTTACTGTCTCTGTCAGATTCTGCACTTGTCATGGGCTGTGTGCTTCGATCACACACGCATATGCACACGCACGGGCTCGGCCGCGCGCGCGCGCGGGCACACACACATACACACACACTGTTTCCATGAGTGCATTACTGTGTCTCTTTCTCTCTTACTGTCTCTGTCAGATTCTGCACTTGTCATGGGCTGTGTGCTTCGATCACACACGCATATGCACACGCACGGGCTCGGCCGCGCGCGCGCGCGGGCACACACACACACACACACACACACACACACACACACACACACACACACACTGTTTCCATGTGTGCATTACTGTCTCTCTGTCAGTAGAAAATACAGCCCCAATATGAACTTTGTTGTTACAGTTCTTGTCTTTAACTCTTTTAACATACTAACTTCTTCTTTTTCTTCTACTTCTGCTTTTCTTTTCTATACTTTCTACATTTATACAATTAATTTAACTTCAGCTGTTTCATACTTTCTGCATTCAGATGTAGGGCAGTAACTGAAGCAGGGCAATAGATGGTGCTGTTCTGCATTCTCAAGTTACTATGGTTGGATGCTGCAGACTGCAAAAATCTGTTTTACTATTTGTACATTTAATAGGAACATTGTTACACATTGTTTAAAGGCATTTGTTTTTCAAATTCAATTATCCATATCAGTTCTGTTTATTCACATCAATCATATACATTTTTCACTTAGGCTGTCAGACAATTTGTACATTAATCCAACTAATTTACCTCCAGCTATACTACAATTCTTCCATTGATACAATTTCTTCTTCTTCTACTCCACCTTTTCTACAGTTTTTCCGTTTATACCTTCCTCCATTTTTTATTGGCAGTTTTGCATTGCTTTTTCAGCTTTCAGCACTCAGCATTTCCACGCATTTTCTGCAAGGAAATGCAATTTTTCTAGTTAAGTGGAAATGCTGATAGGCATTTCCACTTATTGTTATTCTCCCGTTTCTTTATTATTGTTATTATTATTATTATTATTATTATTCTTCCGCCGTTTTTCGTCCGCTTTCAACTCCTTCCCAGTTTGTGCGATTTCAACCGTTCAAACTTTAAACTATTCCACTCCTTCAGGACACGTTTGCTATTACTTTTCACTTTTCTAACATTTATACTTTTTTTTTTTTTTTAGTTTTTGTGCAAAAATTTTAACATTGAAGTCAATGGGGAAATCTTCCAATTCTTCCTTTTATTCTTCCACCTTCTAGACCTTATAACTTCAGCATACTTTCACCTAGAGACCTCATTTTTGCTTTAAAATGTTCATTCACTTGTCGACTATTACAGTTGTACTCAGTTTTTTGATATCTCTTACAGTTTTTCCACAATTTAGCTTTAAGCAACTTGTGGTTTTCAGCAAATTTCAAGCTTTATAATGGGTGTGTATTGGAGAGTTTAGAGTGATGATGTCATCAGCTAGAGTGCAGACCTCGTCTCTGATCGACAGAACCTCGCTCGACTATATCGCTCCCACGCCCACAAATCTCACTCCACTGACACAAATAATACATCAAAATGGAGGTATATGTGTCCTGCTTCTCACAAAAGAGGTTTTAAATCATTAAATCGTACCCCTTGGCCAGCAGGTGACCAACTGTCCAAAGAAGGCGGAAATCTCTCCCATTGACCGTAATGTTATTTTTCTCCAAGAAAATCCGGATCATCGCTCAGGCTCAGACTTTTTTAAGTCGCTGTTGTGGCCACATTTGTCGGAGTACAGACATGAAAAAGACATCATTGTGTTCATGAAGGGCGGAGGATTCGTACGATGTTCTTATTTTCATTCTGTGACTTAAGGAAATCACGCTATGTGAAGAAGTTTAGAGCCTCTAAATCCTCTGCAGTTCAGCTGCTTCTCATTCAAACAGTAGGTCAGTGATTTGCCTTTGATCTCACAGCTGTTTTGGATAATATCATTAATGAGACACACACACACACTCAGCCAATGTGTGTGCGTCAGCCTCTTTCTCTCTATGAGACTTTCATGTACACACAGTAAATATGTGCCTGCGTGAGTCTCTCTCTGTCTATGAGACCTGAACACACTTTGACCATGTGTCTGCTTCACCACCTACCTTCTCTCACAAACTTTGAGATACAGACACATTTAGGGCTTCAAAAATTCTGCTCATTGAGGGCATTATGGAGTCCACAGAGGATTTCTATTCATTTAAATTGTCCTTAATTTAAAATCATTCTCATTATTTATGCATTATTCTTCTAACAAATTTAAACTCATTCTTATACAAACCTCTCTGATTCTTCAAACCTTTCTAATACTTATGGATTTTTTATTAGTTATATTTTCCCCACTTTAAATCATTTTTACTATTCATGCATATTTCAATTCTTCAAACAAAATCCCACTTCCATTTCTACAACTACAACTTACATCACTTCTACCTCAACTAGTCTTGCTACTGTTAGTACTAGAAAACAATTAAAATGAATTGATTGAACCACTGCCTTTCGGTCGTCTGAAGTATGACATTTCCGAGTGTCCCTGAACGCCTCAAACATTTCTACCGCGACGCACTGGTGGCTCGCGCTCTCCTTCTCCGACCTCAACGAAGGTGAGTCAGAGCACAGTCTCTCTAACTTCTGAACACTCCAAACGGTGATGTAACGTTTCAAAAGGCACTGGTTTGTGTTATAATCAATGAAGAGTTTATTCATGATTGAAGTGGTCGAGATAATGAGTTGAAAAAGCATACGCTAACGCTGTTAGCATCGAGTTAGCGCCGCTAGCGTCGAGCTAGCGCCGAGTTAGCGCCGCTAGCGTCGAGCTAACGTTAAAGCTAACATACCTACAGCTGTGAGGCTGAATCATTAGCCAGCTGAGCACAAAATAAAGTGAATATGTAAGCCGCTGCGGTACTATAAAGCATACGCTAACGCTGTTAGCGTCGAGTTAGCGCCGCTAGCGTCGAGCTAGCGCCGAGTTAGCGCCGCTAGCGTCGAGCTAGCGCCGAGTTAGCGCCGCTAGCGTCGAGCTAGCGCCGAGTTAGCGCCGCTAGCGTCGAGCTAGCGCCGAGTTAGCGCCGCTAGCGTCGAGCTTACGTTAAAGCTAACATACCTTCAGCTGTGAGGCTGAATCATTAGCCAGCTGAGCACAAAATAAAGTGAATATGTAAGCCGCTGCGGTACTATAAAGCATGCCAAATGATGTACAGGCTGTGGAGTTTATTGACAATGGGACTGACAAGAATACTCATATTGTCAAGTATAAACTGACTAACTAGCTAACTAATGACGCTAGCACCATTGCTACAGGTTCAGTTCATTACTGTGACTGAGTCATTGCTGGGGAACTGGTCTGGAGACGTCAGCTGTTTAGCTCCTGGTCACTTTTTATCAGCCATTGTAGATGTATTAAAATATAGGCTGCATTTAGCAAGCATCCAGGTATAGCACAAATGTGAGTGGTTTTCCTTTTTTTATGTGTCAGAATGGACCTCTATTATTGAAGGTTTTATTCATGATGGGGATGATAGAGATATTTACATTGCAAAACATAAAATTAATTCAGTATTTAATGTTTAACAATACAAAGTTCCAATTAATAAATATATTCCAGTTGAATTTCCCTTTAGGGATCAATAAAGTTCTTATCTTAATATTGAGTTGATGGATGGAGAGTCAGCTGCCTTGAAATTGGTGAACCTGCTCCTGGTCTGTCTCTGTCTTGCTGGCTGCTACTGAACTTCACCTTCTACTGTACCTTCTTTTCTTTTGATAACAAGCTGTTAATTTGGATATTGGTGATGTGCTAACACCACAGCAAAGATACTTTATCTGAGGTGTATATACTTTAATACAGTATGTATTATGTGTGACATTTTCAGCTGCAGCTAACAGCCAGGTGATCTGTTGGAGCTGTTTAGTTTTCAATTAGCCCAACTACTGTAATAATGTTAGTTTTCTTTATAGGCCTATTGTTTTTAATGTACTATCTGTCAGACAACACTAATGTATTGTTTCTTGTCTCAAACAAACAGAAGAAACATCCTCACCAGTGCATTTGTTGGTAAGTATAAGTGTTTTGACCAAGACTGACAACAAACAAAATAAAAATAACTGGATTAATGATTAGCTTAATCCTGTTAAACAACATGTCATTCAAGATAATCTACAACATATGATGCATTTTTCAAGTACTGAGTTTAAATTGATACGAAATGTTGATCTATCTGTAACACTGTTGTATATCCTATATGAAAATCATAGATGGGATACAGTTTTTTCCTAGAAGACAATAGTGTGCTAACAATATTACTACACTACTGAACTAATTTATTTAAAAAATGCTGGCGAAAGTCTGAATCTTGATTGTGACAATAATTAAGTGAGAAAATCATTCAGATAAATTTTGAATGAAGTGGTTTTTTTAGTGTATTAAAAATCTCTTTCCCTCCCTCTCCCCCTCCTCCTGCCTCAACTTGTCCTCTGACCTGGGCGAAAATCCCTATCAACTCTGAAGTGTAAGTTCACGCTTAAAGTCAGGTCCATAAATATTGGGACATCAGCATAATACTCATCTCTCTGGCTGTAAACACCACCACAGTTGACTTTATATGAAACAAACAAGATGTGCTTTGACTGCAGACATTCAGCTTTAATATATGGTTATTTACATCCACATTAGGTGAAAGGTGTAGGAATTAAAACAGTTTGTATATGTGCCTCTCACTTTTTAAGGGACCAAAAGTATTGGGACAAACCAAAAATCATACATCAAACTTTCACTTTTCAATATATGGTTGCAAATCCTTTGCTGTCTAAGACAGATAGATACACCAGACGCTGGGTTTCACCCCTAGTGTTGCTCTGCCAGGCCTCGACTGCAACTGTCTTCAGTTCCTGCTTGTATTTGGTGCATTTTCTCTTTAGTTTTATCTTCAGCAAGTGAAATGCACGCTCAAACGGATTCAGGTCAGGTGATTGACTTGGCCATTTCATAACATTCCACTTCTTTGCCCTACACCGTGCACCTGATTTGGATGTAAATACCCTTAAATTAAAGCTGAATGTCTGCAGTCAAAGCACACCATGTTTGTTTCAGTTCAAATTCATTGTGGTGGTGTTTACAGCCAGAGAGATGAGAATTGTGTTGACGTCCCAATATTTATGGACCTGATGGTATATACTGTATGTACTTATTGGGCAATCACTCAAATGTTACATTTTTGCTCTGCAGTTTATAATTATATTTCACTGTTTTGTATTTCACCTCAATAACTTGCATAAGAAAGTAAAAAGTGAACAGGTCCTTCATTGTGTTTGTGCATTTTCTCTCCATTGTAACAAACATTTTTTACAGGCCAAGGGAGCTGCAGTAACATCCTTTTACTAATCAAGCGCCACAAATTGTAGACTTTGATTAAAAAATGAGAAAACTAATGAACCACAGTGAAAAGTTGTGATTGCAGTAAACTATAAGATGCTGATTTTTTTGCAACTAAATTTCTCTATTTTTTGTCCCTGTCTTTTCTCTCCTGAACTCGATGCTATCTCTACTGCTGGCCTATTCACTGTTGGCGACTCAGCTGTAAGTGCACAAATAAAGTAACTTAAAAATGTTTACACTGTTACTTTTTTAAACATATCATGTAAAAACCTGACATTATGTCCTTATTTGACAAACTGCAACACATTTTCATTGTAACACAAACCATTTTAAATAACACTTAATTAATTTTGCCGGCTGATTACAGTTGAAACTGCAATGCAGTGAGATGTGCTGGTTTTCTACAATTAAACTTAAAATCTCTTGTCTCTTTTTTTTCTTTTTCATTTTCCTTTTTGCCAACTCTGTCCTGTCTCCAAGTGCAGACCGCTTTGTGGCGACTCGACGTAAGTTCACACAGGAATGACACTTTCAGGAATAAGACAGTGTGCCATGGTTCACATATGAAGTTCTTCATATCCTAAAGTTTTTATTAACTCTTATGAACACTTTGGATTTTTAGTCCTTATGAATTTGATTGAGGGGTTATCGAACAAGACAATGGTCACTTCCAGCTTTTGAATCAACTTGACTTTTGATAGATGTATAGTTGAGGGCAGCCACTTGGTGGGTTGAGTAAAAGCACATTATAATGTGATTAGCTTTGGGTGGATGTTGGTTCATTTGATTTTATTTCTTTAATAAAAGATTAATGTTTTTTTCCATTGTGTCTTACAGGTATCCTGTCCAGTCCCCCCACACACACACACACACACACACACACACACACACTCTCACACTCTCCCCTATCATTTTGGTCGCTCTGTCTTTCCTGTCTCCTCTACCGCTCTGTCTGATTGAAAAGCCACTCTGTCTTTCTATCCCCCTTGTATCCCACTCTGGCTACTGATACAATCCTTGAATAAATCTTTGATACCATTGAAACAAATCTTTGATACCATTGAAACAAATCTTTGAGGCCTATTGTAACAAATCATTGAGACCTATTGTAACAAATCATTGAGGCCTATTGTAACAAATCATTGAGACCTATTGTAACAAATCATTGAGGCCTATTGTAACAAATCATTGAGACCTATTGTAGCAAATCAACATTTTTTGAGAAACCTTTTTATTAAATCAACCTTTTTTTTGAGAAACCAAACTTTTGAAAAGCTGTACATTTAATACAACCACTGTTTTGAAAAAATAATCCCTAATTTTGCACAAGTCTGATTTTTGTTCTAGGTTTTCCTTTCCTGTCTGTGGATCCAGAGTTTCACCAGAAGTGTCATCAGCGCCACCATATCTGCGTCCCTGATTTTGAAAGAAAAAATAAACACGTTTCATATAGAATATTTGAGTTACATATTATTTCAAGCACAAAGTTCAAAAATTTAAAAATTGTTGCCGATTTGTGTTTTTTTCTGAAAACATTTATACAGCCTTGCCTAGGATTCCCATTTGAAAACTATTGTGGTATACACACAGTTATAAATTAGATATTTTGGAGACTATAAGAGCTGTTAAATAACGTCCTCTCTGTAAGAAATAAAGCGTTTTGTCTATCACTGGTGCTTATTAATTTTACATTGTTGTATAAACACATTGTTGTGAAAGAACAGCTACAATGCCAAGGAAAAGTAAGAGGTCACAGGTTGCAAGCCAGCGCTGGCAGAGGTTTCATGACATTGACCATGTGAGTACTGGACAAGCAGATGGTATTCCTCAGAGCAGTGGAGAGGTCAAGAGGTCTGAAGTATCTGATGCTGTGAAACAGGGAGGTGAAAAGTGCGTCATGTCAACCACAGGTATCTCATGCAGACATGCTTCAAGAGGAGACGTTTAAGTGAGTCACCTGCAGCAGGTCCGTCTAACTCTGAACAGGTAAACCACAGAGGTGAAACTAATGATCCAGGTGTACAACAGGTAACATATGCAGACATGTTGAAGAGAAAACTTCCTAGTGTGTCATGCACTCCCAGTCCATCCAACTCTGGACAGATAAACCGCGTAACCCAAACTGACAAGCCATTTTCAACCCAGGTATCACATACAGACACTGTTAAAAGGGGAAACCACAGTAATTATCAGTCTGTATCAGAGGCTCTTCTCAGGCAGAAATGTGAACGTTGTTAATGATTCAGGTGAACAAAATGTCTGTGCGTCACGCAGCCAAGCGTCTCTGAAATACGGCCAATCCAGAAACCAGCAGTGCACCTGTAACTCACTGACATTTCTAGCATTCCTGTATGAGAAAGAACACATCACCAGAGCAGACCTGGACCGTGTTTTGGATAAAGGTGATGTGATGTACAGAGAAGTCAGAAAAACTGTTCGTGATCACCATCTGACAACCGATGAGCTCCCTCACCAGGTTCCTGCACGCAGACACATGCTGAGTGTTGACATGTTACAGCTGTCTAGATACGGTACGTTTGGAGATCCGGATCCCGGAGCTGTTGATACCTTTCTGGACCTCGTTTCAGGACTGAGCTGCTTATTATCAGATGTGCAGTATGCTTTGCTGTTAATGACTTCACTGTGCATTGCAGTTTTCAGAACCAGAGATGGCAGGTACGGTTTCTTTGACCCACATGCTAGGACAGCTAACGGTTTGCCTCTGCTTCAGGCCACACCTACTCCTGGTACTGCTGTCATGGTAACATTCACACGCCTCAGTGACATG